CGGCATTACTCATGTCATCACCAATGGTGTCATATTCATCATCAGTGATAGTAACAAAGTTCATTAAGGAATACAACCCATTGTGATGCTTGTAAAAATGGCATTCAATATGTGATGACAAACTGATCTTGTGCAGTTCTGTTTTTGATGAATTATAAGAATAGCTTCATTAAAAGTAGGAAATCATCAGTAATATCTATGTCATTAAGCAATCTACAATTAATTATGAAAGACTATGCAAATTAAGGAAAACAACCTATAGTGGTAACTTGGTAACACAACTTTTCAATCCTGAATATCATGATCATCTTAGTTATGAAAGTGCATTTGATCTTTTTGGATTGGCATGATGGAAGTTGGTTATTGACCTTTCTCTTTATTTAGCCATAATTTTTTGTGTGTTCCAAACGTCCATGTTGGCCATATTATGTTTTATGTGACCGGTTTGAGTCTCCAATTTTTTATGTGGGCCATAGCCTTTATTACTTCCACACATATTTTCAGGGTGTGGTGAGTTGTGAGGCCCCATAAAGTTACTTTCTTATAATAGCAGTAACTTTTGCAATGATGCCTTTGTACTTGTATGGACGTTATCCAAGTTCTAATTTTGTCTTATCTCTTTTTTTTAGTGCTTTTGAAATATTTAAAGTTATTCATTCAGTTGTGGATTGTGAAGAAGCCATTGTTATGGTAAGAATACTTTCATCATTTTGTGTTTATTTATTTTTCTTTAATTAGGCTGCCTGTGATGTAGTTAAAGAGTTCTCAGCTGATAATGTTCAATACTTAGAATTAAGAACAACTCCTCGGGCTAACACCGATTCAGGTATATATTGATGATGTATTAATTTCTGATACTAATTGTAATTAATTTTTGCTATTTCAATTTTATGAGATTGTGACTGACTCTTATAACTTATCTATTGCATTTTATGACTTGCTTTAAAAACATTACAATTAGTGCAAAATTTGTGTGTAATGAACTAAAATAATGTACTTTGTAGAAAGAATATAAGAGCCAAAGTGAAAAATTAAATTATTAATGCATTATCATTAAAAATTTGAGTGATGATAGAAAAGAAATTATTTGTATTTATTGTTAGGAATGACGAAAAGGTCTTATGTTGATGCTGTTGTAAGAGGTATACAGTTGGCCCTTCCAAGTTGTACAAATGACATTCAAGTAAGGTCAGTTTAGGGCTGATGGTTATAATGATGACTTGTAACTTTTCCCATATAGATTATTATTGTCTATTGATCGTCGTCAGAATATTACTGAAGCATACGATACCATTAAATTAGCAATGGAGCATCGTAATACTGGTGGTGCTGGTCAAGCAAGTGTTGTTGGAATTGATTTAAGTGGGGACCCAATGGTATGACAATGAATTAATTCAAATTAAAATATTTTGATTCTATTTGCATGGAACAAACATGGCTTGCTGTAAAAACTTGCCAGTTCTGCTGTCATAACATTGTCACCAGGGTTTTCCACAAAGTGTACTTAGCTTTTGCAGTAACTTTAGAATTCAATTTTAATCAAAATCATCTCAAACTAGATATACATCATCAGAGAATGTATATGTA